AGAGAGGCTTAACCTTTGAAGATGCACCAGGCTGAACAGGCTACTATTGGAGTCCAAAGAGCCATAGAGATAACTGCTGCTGAGATTAAGGCCAATAACATGACCCGTCATCTCGTCACACTCCACGCCGTCCCACGAACAGCAGCTGCTATTTCCTCCTCCAGCTGGTTTCCATGATGAAACCTTTGGATAAGCACCTTTAGAACGTGAAGCAGATTTGTCAATCATAAAGCTCTCCTTGAACTGCAGCAAGGCAGAGCTCTCCTCGGCATGGCAAGATAGCTGCTGCAAAGAGTCTACAAAGTTTGCAACCACAAGATGAAACAACAACAGAACTAGTAGTTTCGAGAGCATGCGAATAGACAGGTGAATCCCCATAATGTTTTGATATTTTTTGTTTGCACTCTTTGCTAAAAAATCATCTATGAAAGTAAAGCTAGAGAGCTATCTATTTATAGACTGGCATGATCAAATGGTAGAGCAATAGCGTACACGTGTCAAGTAACTATTTAATATTATTTGACATTTTGATCAATATAGAAGTGATAGGATAATACACGTGTCAAGTATCTATTTATGGACTGGCATGAGGTGACTAAAGTCATGCAATAGCGTACACGTGTCAAGTAACTATTTAAATACTTGTACAGAACTTTTCATATGTATCCCAGATACCCCAAAGATGAAAAATTCTGTGATGATTATTTGGTTGCATGTCTTTATCGGTCCATACATACGTGCTTGACTTGAACAGAGGGGCAGGTACGTAGCATCCAGAGTCATCAATTTCGCAACACCTAAATCCAATATGTCAATTTAGCATTTGGAGCGTTCGTTATTGAGCCAGTGCAAGATTTTAATATTCAGTTTATAAACAGTTCTTACTTGAGCATTGCCCTTGTATTTCCAATGTTTTAAAATATTCGTTTCTTTGCCCTCTTAAGGCATAATCAAATGGCATTGATCAATATTACTCCGAATTAACCATCTTCATCAAAAGAATATTTATTGACATTTTGATCAATAAAGAAGTTAATAGAAATAATAATAATAATAATAATAAACTTGAGGCGTAGTGTCAAGAACTTGCCATCACAGAAAATTCCATCCTTGAAAATAAGACCATTGTTGTCTTGTCAATTCGAAGCAAAGAAAAAAATAGTTCTGGTAAATCACATATATGCAATTTATGATATTTTCAATTAAAAAGACCAAGAAACTCCAAGTCAATTTGCGAAATTGATGAGACCTAAATTTCCAAAGTTACGTCTTCAAACATGCACGTCACCATGTGCTCTGGACTTTTTGCACCTATATACTACCTAGTGTGTTGTTGGTTGCACTTTGTTCTTGTTATTGTCAAACAGTAAATGGATTGTTCAATCTGTCAAACAAATCATGCTCTGGACTTGGTAAAAAAAAAATAGTAGAAAGAGAAGACACGGACCAAGGTAGAAGAAAGGAATAAGACGAAAAGAACAAAAAAATTAACATGATGCATATGCATAACCTTTGTTTTCATTACCAACCCACTTCCCCAAGTCTGCCAAAACAAATAGCAATGGATCTCCACAGTCCACACAATCCTTTGTTTTCATTTCCAACCCTTTTGTTTATTCCAAAGGGGATAATATTTATTGACATATATATCTCTCAAAAAAGAAGTATTTTATGACTTAAATCAAGAACTTAGATCTGATTAATAAACAAGTGTAAATGCAACCAAATAAACATTACGTGTTTGACTTCAAGTCAAGTAGCAATGCATTTATGGGTATTGGACGTGTTCAGCATCAGCTCTTTCCTCATCGTTTCTTCGGTTTCTTGGCCTGACTTTTGAGTCTTTGTTTTGTGGAAATTGTTTTGGCACCACATGTGAGATTTGTCTTGTCCTCTTGAGAGTTCGCATTTAAGGGCTTGTCCTTTCATCATTGATTGTTTTGTTTTTACAGTGTTGGTTCTTGAGGAGAATTGCTTTAGGTGGGTAATTTGTTGTAAGGAAGACTTCCTGAGGAGCTTGGGACTTTAAATAATAGTAAATAAAAGAAACAAAACATCTGTACTGTTTGTTTTCTCTCCCCTCTGGGTTTCTTTACCCCCCGTTTGGATGAGGTTTGAAATTTAGCTAAAAGCCGGGAGTTTAAAAGAAGAAATTGACAATTCCCTTGTTTGGTAACTTAAGCCCGGAATTTATTAAATGAAGCGCATAAAAAATCGTGGAAATTGGGTCATCAAATTCCCAAGTTTAATTTCCACTCAAATAGGCATCATTTCACAATTTCCATAGTTCTATTTACAAAATTCGACATATATAAATCCAAACACTGAAATCTTCAATTGTTAGAAATTAAGCCCTACAAATCTAACATTAATAAGAAAAATATTTCAGTGCCACTCAAATATAGCAATTAAGCCCTACAAATCTAACATTAATAAGAAAAATAGACGCATTATTATTATGGTTTGGGTTGATTACAAATGTCATGGAGAAACAAAAGCGCCCTTACATTACATGTTACATGTTGTGGTTGCATTTTACTAACTACGTCAGATTTCATATCTATTATTTTGATGAATTCAAACTTATTAAACCAGCCCATACTTTCTATCATCTGGTGAATATTGTTTTTGAGACAGAGAGAGACTTAATTAAAAAGGCAACGGAGGACTGATTCAGACCCCAAAAACAATAAATAAATAAATAAATAAAAGAGAGTTGAAAGCGAGAGAGAACGGGGGAACACAATTCGATGGAAAGAAGGCCCTCTTGACAAAAGCACCCTTCCACACGTTAACTTTTCCAAATCAAAGTCATAAATTACATGGGTTGGATCAGCAGTTAGAAGATGAGCAGTAGTTCCATGCTAGAAAAAATGCCTTCAATTGGTCTGATCATCTGATCTATGAATATCAATGGAGAGTTAGGGCCTGTTTGGTATTCAACTTGAATCCAACTTTTTAAACTCAAAAACAGAATTTGAGTCCAAAACAAAAAAAAACCTATTTGGTAGCCCTATTTTTAAAAACTCAAACTCAAGAACAACTCAAAAACACCCCAATTATTTAAATAAAATAAAATAAAAAAAATCTGTTTTTTCAGTTTTTTTTAAACAGCCCACAAGTTCTCAAATTTTTAAGATTTGAAAACAATTTTCAAGTTGCATACCAAACAAGTTTTTGAATCTTAAAAATAGATTTAAGAACTCCTTGTTTTTAAGAAAAATCAAAGTTTTTGAGTTCCCTATTTGAATAGGATACCAAACGCCCCCTAGCTAGTATTGCAATTTATTTATTTTTCGATACAAGTGATATGTGGGGAGGAGGATTCAAATGCACATGAATTCAGGTGCATAAGTAATTGTTTTTCACCACTTGAGGAGAAAGAAAGGTTGTGCTGTCTTTAATATATACATATCATTATATGTAATTATATGCATGGTAGAATAGAATTGGAAAAGGACACCACTTAGCTTTGATGAGATTAAATCTTTGTCGTCGCTGATGGCTTGACTTTGAAGTCTTCTACCAATATCTAATCTTGTAGTAGTGACCAGGAAAATGGGATAGAACAAAAATAATGATAAAAAGGCCTCCACGAGATTCATGGTTGGCTTGACTTGTTGACTTAAAAGGTCTTTCCTTTCTTTTCTTTTTTGAATTGACTTAAAGGCCTCCACGTAATTCTTAGTGCATTTTATTCCAAGTTAAACTCAATTAAACTCGAATTTTTAAATATTTAACAACCAAAAGAAGCAAACTCTACCCTTTTTTTTTTTTTTGCAATGGGATATTGATATGTCGGGTTGAGAGACTATGAACATTGTGGAAATTGTGATGTGAATGTGGTGTTGCTTTAGTTAGAAAATTTGCATATAGTGATTGTATTATACACATATTTACAAATTATTCACATTTAATATATGTATCTTTTTACAGAATTTTTAAATAATACAAGTAAACTTTATGTATTATACACATATCTTTGCACATATTATTAAGTAAAATTTTGAATAATTAATATTGAAATACTCTACATTCGTTTTTTTTTTTTTGGTTAGATAATATGTGTAAACATTTTATTCGTATTTGTTATATCCTGTATTTTACTAACTATGCTTTTAAATATGGAAGTAATTTCACCTATAGATTTATACTAAAATCCACGTGATTGAGAGCCAATGCTAACAATTTGGATTCTAAAGCTTGTCAAAATATTTTATAGAGTTGCATCTGTTGCCCAACTCGGTTGTAACCATGATTTTATTGCGGTGCTTTATTGTGGTGAGTATTGATTTGGTCCATTTCACAATAAAAAAAATAAAAAAAAGTTTTGACTTGGTCTCTAGTGGAAGGAAGCAGATGATTTATGTGGCCTGTTCTCTTGTGACTATGTTGATTTAATGTAAGAAGTGCAAGCCACCACCCCCTCTAGCCACCCAAGCCACCACCGACGACCACCTA